CCCACCTCCCCCGCCTCCCCCCCAAGTCCCTTTCCTAGTGTAACAGAGACCGGGATGACCTTGTAAATTACAAACTCACTACTCTTCTCTACCCATCGCTCTCATCCCACTCATGGATTCTAGCACCAAGAAGGCTCTTCCTTTGCTGCGAAGAGCGAAGCATTTGAAACTTACGCGCGCCCTTCAGGTAGAGCATAGCTTGAGGAGTCCAGTTCCTTCGGTCAAAGAGTCTCTACAAAGCCGCGAGGAGAGAAAAGCAGTTAGGAACATATTGCTGGCCAGTTCTCTAGTGGGGAAAGAAACAAACAAAACACGGAAAAAAGGAAGAACGAAGGAAGGGAGGAAGCAAATAGCGCATCCAGTAGCCCCAATTTTTGCATTAGATTTACCTGCGGGGCACTAATGGAATTTCCCAAGAAAGAAAATGTCAGGAGAAGAGCCAGGGTCGTTGCTGTCAGACTTCTGAATCCCTGTGTGAAAAGATCAAAGATAGCCTTTTCTGTACCTCAAGGACCTTCTGCTTTCTTCCTTGACTCCTGGACAATTACAAAAGCCCCACTTTTTTGTTTTGTTACCCAGTACTTGGGGAGCGTCCTCCAATCCACCATAGAATTAATACACAGTTGATTTTAAAAAAATTTACAAGTGTGTTTTTATTAGTTAGCCCAAATGAATTAAATGGATAAGGCTTTTTTCCCGTTAGAAAACTCAAATGACCCTGATTATTTCCGAGGCATATCTAAGGCACAGTAAACATAAACTAGGTAAAAAGCTATAAAGTCTTTCATAAAACAGCTCATGAGTCTCAAGTAAATAAAACTTACTTACCTTCATGTTCAGCTCCTATTCAGAACCTGCAATAACTGCCTTTCCACTGAGTTCTCTAATCTTGTTTGGAGGGTGGGGCTTTTAAAATCCTGTTCTCACAATCATCAAAAAAGTAAGGGAGTCCAAAGGGACTTCTTGTCATTCTTCAAGACTGACAGGCTCTGCCACTCCTCCAGGGAGATTTAGTTGCAGGAAGCAGAGGAATGACTGATGAGTGGACATCACTTGTTCAGATTCTGTGATCACGTCACCTAGTGATATTCTGAGTGTATCAGCATCATTGCATTTACTCTTCCCACTAGCTTACCGAAGTATTTTATTATTTTTATTTTAAAAATGAATGGTAGCTCCAGGAAGAATCAAAAGTAAATGAATAAAATAAAATCAAAACTTACCTTGGCAACTAGCTATCATCACTGATGAGAAGTGAGATATGGGAATGGATTTGGACAACAGCCATTCACTACTTACCCATTCAATTATATAACCACTATGTATTGAAGGCTGACATTCTTCCTTTTAATTCAAGGAATTCAAGCTGCCTTAACAAGACAATCTCTGCTTTGCTTAGAGGAGAAACACTAAACTGGTAACACTGTAGAAGATTTTATGCAGGAAAAACAGGCAAGGTGCTGCAACTTATAAATAAGTGGTGGACTACTCTGGGGAAGGTAAAATGGAGAAGAGTTATGAAACATAAGGAGTCCAATGTCCAGGAACTTGGATGCCTGGGGAGGTACAAAGTAGTATACTTGTGGGGCAGTGGGAGAACAGAATCTGAGAAAAAGAAATTCAGGATGATTCTGTTTTGAGCTTAAACACTGGGTGAATGATGTCATGCTGAAATTGGACATTATAAAGAACAAATTAAGAGGGTCTTTGGGATATATTAAAATTAAAATGAATTTTTGCTATCCAAATAGAAATCTCATCAGGCAACTAAAAATGCAAAACTCTATAGAGCTCAGCAAAGAAGTCATTAGCCTGTAGATTTTTTCCCCCCTAAACGCAGGAATGCTTAGCTCTTAAGAATTTGAATTCTATGTTTATATAAATAATTAGATGAATAAAATTTGAGAGGGAAAAATTTCAGAATCTTTTTAAGATTTATTTACTTTAAGAGGTATTTATTTATGCATACAAGAACTAGGGTGTAGGCCATGGTTGCAGGAGGTGAGAGGCTTCACCAGAGACAGAGTGGGGAGGACAGGAAGACCCACAGAAGTACAGTGCTGTGGGGATCAAACTCTTGCCACAGTGGCTGGGGTTACAGCTTGGTAGTGCTGAGACTTTAACCCCTGTGCCACCAGGGAGACTCCTTTCAGAATCTTAAGGCAGGAAAAATTTGGATTGAAGAACAGCACTTTGGGAGTAAATGTAGTTATGGAAAAGAGATGGAAATAGACAGAATAAGGGAAATAAGCCTTGAGAATAACAGGAGAGCCAGCAAAGGAAGCCGAGTTGAAGCATCAGAGAGAAAGGAGGGTTCCAGGAGACAGTGAGACTATGGAAGCCAGAATATTCAAGAAATGTTGAGAAGTTTGAGCTAATGCCAGGCAAATGTGCACAGAATTCTGGAATATGATGATTTTTGAGCTAGACTGAAGTGTAGCAGAGCTAGACCGAAGTAGGTTGAAAACTGAATAGGACATGATTAACACCAAAACTGGAAAAAAATTTAATATTTAAAAAGTAGGAGTTCAGGGTTTAGTTTCAAAGAACTGTAGCAACTTCCAAAGAAAAACAAGTAAAATAAATAAGTACCCATGTGTTTAAATGAAATCATCAGTAAACCCAATTGTTGGTTACCTGACAAGTAAAATTCCTCTCCCCCTTCTCCATTCCAAAAACACAGACAGGCTTTATTTAGAAAGAGGGACAGGAAAAATGAATTGCTGAATAATGTCGTGTTTTGGGTTTACAAGTTTAAGGAAAAGTGAATGTGGCTTGTTTACAATTTAATGAATTCTCAAGAAGATGTGTTACGTCAAAGCTGCCATTTTCAGTACAATATGCTGAAGAGAGTGTTTTGACAGATGATCAATACCGTAGTCTCATCAAAAGGGATATGCCAGAATGTTTGCTCGAAAAGGGCATAACTCCCAATAAAATGGTTTTGTTGTATCACACTGTTTAAAGATTTTTAACAGGGCTGAGCCTAGAGATGGGCTAAGAAAAGTTGTTTGATAAGAATCAAATGATGGATAAAACCATTGAATTATATTCTGCTGACATGACCAGCAAAAGGCATGGAACCAGCTCTCAATCTTTCTTACAGGCACATTCAGTGGAGACCATTTTGCTCACATCACTGCCGTCAGCTGAATTCTTGTGACGGGACACTGATCCAGTCCCATTTAACAGTTACGACTGCCACTGTTTAAACTGTGTTCTCACAAGTTTAGCAATGATTGGTGAGCACCTTGAGTAAGCTTACCTGCACAATATGGCTGTTAGAGTATATTATTAATGAAGCTATTCAGTTGGTCTCTTGTTACTTTGGCCTTATTTGTGCCAGGTCTCCCACTCAGTAGGCTAGTTCTCTCACAAAAGGTGGGAGAAATAATTTCCCCAAAGGGCTGCCAGTTTCAGGGGCAGGCGGCTTGTTATTCCAAACAACCTCTCCATGTCTAGTCCCTTCCTTTTACTTTCTTTAATGCTAATTCTTAGAATCTCTTTTCCATAACTCAATAAATACAAAAATAGGTTCAAAGTTCTGAGAAGACAACAAAGGATTGCTTTTGGCCTAGTGGGTCCAGAAAGATATAACAGAGTTGACCTTTTAATAAGAGCTGCAAGTGCTAGCAGTCAGGGGAGGAAAGATTTAGGGCTCCTTGCCTCTGTAGCCAATCTCCCATGTGCGTCCAGGTGGCAAGACAGAGGTTGGAGCTTTAGGCCTCGAAGAAGTTAGAAAGCTCTGCTGGATAGTGAATAGCCTTCAGGACTTCCAGTTCACCAGAGTTGAGACTTGCAGTTAATTGTTGGATTCAATACCTACTTCTTGGATACTTTAGACCTACCACTAGACCTTCTTGGTCAGTGATTTTGTGGCCTTCACTAAATTGACAATCAGAACACAGCAGCTGTTGTGGTTTTGTTTGTGAACAAAGACGTATTGTATATCCCTCCCTTTGAGAAGGGGTATTTAAGCACGTCTCTACTAAGTTCTGAAGTTTTTGGTCACTTGTTTGGGTTGCCTAAAGTCTATTTCTATCTTACAATTACAGCCAAGCAATTTGGAAATGAATTGTGATTAATGTTTTATAAAAGGAATTGGCTAAGGCTCATTTTTCAAAAGTGAGGTGGCTATTGTGCCATGCTAATTTTTAGAATTCTGTAAGAAAGACACATTTGATCACTGTTGTGGACTGAATTTGCCAAAATTCACCAAATTCACCAAAATTCGTTGGTAGTTTTAATCCCCAGTATTGCAAGTCCTCCTAATCCCTCTAGGAAGGAATCGGGTTCAGAGATTATGCCAGGGGCCCTCTATGGTGGGATTAGTGTCTTTTGAGGGAGCAGAGCTCTTCCCTCCATGGGTTTCTTAGAGAAGGTAGTCAGTTGCAAGCCAGGAAAAGGGTCCCCACCACAGAAACTTTTCTTTCTTTTGCATAGAACTTAAGAACTGGGGTACTGTGGTGTAGGCCAGTGATGCGGCATTGGGGGGAGAAGGGAAAGAAAAGAGAGCAGGAATCACCAGAGACAAAGTGGGGAGCAGGATAGACCTATTTACTGAGATACACTGATAAGGGGGCAGTGAGCAAGACAGGAAAGGCCACTGCTGAGACTTAACCCCTAAGCCACCATGGCAACCTTCTACCAGGAACTTAATCAGCCACCATCTTGATCTTGAACTTCCCACACCCCAGGATAGTGATAAGTACATGTTTCAGGCACCCAGTCTATGGAATTGTGCTATACCAGCTAAGACAAACACCAATTAATAGAAAAGTACCCTTTTATTGAGAGGTAAGACAAGTGTATTTACAATATTCAATTGTTAGATCATATAATTTGGCTGAGACTTTTTAAAGCAGTGAAACTCCAGGAATTACAATTTATAAGGAGAAAAGAAAAACATTCCAAATAAGTTTCTGTTACAGAAAATACATTTGAACAATGCCAAAAACAGTTAAGGCTAAGTAGTATTAGACCTTTTCCTCCATCTTTACAGCAATAAACAGAGTATATTTTTGTCACAAAGACAGAAGGCTAATTTTTGAAAGGAAGAAATAATAGAATGTCCAATGCTTCCCGTCACACAAGATTAGTAAGTTTAGAAACAGAGCCTCATCAATGGTTCTGAATAAGAAAAATGCAGTGCTGTCAGGTGGCCCAAGCTCACATTGGAGACTGACTGTGGCTTCATTTAAAACTGAAAACTGCTCCAATCTATCAGTTTACAAAGGACTGGAGATTAGCAAATCCTTTACACACACCTATCTAGTGATGCTTTCTGAAAGAAGATTGTTGAAAAAGATCTTTGTGATAGTGCAAAGAACATTATGATAGAAATTCACTTCAACAAACGAGTTAGGTAATATAGAGTTCTTTACACTAACAGATACTGTTCTTGCTCTAAAAGGTTGGAATCATCTTGCCACTATAAATCACATGGGTCAGTCTAAAACATATAACAGAGTCTGACAGGACACCTTTCATAAGTCCATCCTACAAATATGTATATATTTGACACTTTTCCCAAGTGAGAATATTACTTCTTTGAAGAACATCAGACACAACACTAGTTTCTTATGATTCCATGAACTATTGAGGTAGGAGTCTCATTTCATCAATATCACCTATTTTCACAGATTGTTAAGTCAAATGCCAGTACCAAAAACACAGTAATCCACAAGACTGAACCACTGGCCTGTATACCAACCAAGTCTTTCCTTCTTTATATAAGCGAGTTTGGGAGTTTCTGTGCATGAAGAGCTTGAACTAAAAACACAAGCTGTCATTTATTTTGTACACGGTTGTAAATAAAAATCACAAATTTCAATTATCATTTTATACATTAAAAAGTTTATCAGTTTTTTTTAAAGTTAATAGTGCAATCATTAGTGGTAAAACAAATAATAGGATGGCTGTTGAGATGCATTCCCTATAACTACTACAAAAACTGTCACCTTTACTCATGAAGAAACCACCAGTTTCTTACTGCCTAACAAGCAGCAGTGATCAACACAACCCACACACCATTTTTTTAGTGTCATGTTTTTAAGAAATGATAGCCAGTTTCATTTTCATTACAGTTAAATACTTCAGCATGTGAAAATAGACATTGGCTCCATAAACTCAAAGCAAAGATGACCATATGGTGTACACCTCATGCATACTGATCTCTATAATGAAGAGAAGGGGAAACTCAGCCTTAAATAACCAGCCCTTAAAAAATAGCTCTAAGGTTAACCTTTTAACATGTTACACCTGGAAGTAAACGTTATTAACAGTTATTTTTACTTATGAAGAGCAAAACAATAAACTCCTAAAATTTACAAAAAGAAAGAAAAACTACATCATGATGTGGAAGAAGTCCATTTGGTTTGCATCATTTAGTTTCTAGAATGAAAGACTATTCAATAAAATAAGCTTTGTAACAGACTAGGCCAAGAGTGCATTTTGTTGGGTGTTTATATGTAATGACCTACAGACTCCCAAGCAATATGAAGTTTGCAGCTGACCAAAAAAAGAGCTTATAGTCAGCTGTCATTTACAAACTAGTAAAGAATGACCTTTGCATGTTACAACAAAGAATATTTCATTCAGATTGCCATCTGGCTTTAAGTTGCCGAAGAACCACAAAAGTTTACTTTAACTATCAGTTTACCAAAAAAAAAAACAAAAAACAAAAACAAAACAAAACAACAAAAAAGAAGTGATTCAAACCTCCAAACTGGGTTTCCTTGGTTAATACACTAACATGACATAATCCCATCTGACTCACAGTCACCTTCAGAGACATTAGAAATACTCTTGTCACTGCAGCGGGCATTTCTCAGCAGCACACGCCCACAGCATGCCTACACCTCCAGAAGGGTAGAAAAGGGGCAGGCCCTGTCTCTAAAGACGGCTGGGTTTTGCACCTTTTAGATAAACAATAAAAACTGCCTTCAAGAGTTCTGATAATGCACTGTAACAGATTCCATCCCCTGCAGTTTGCTTGCTGACTCCTAGATGACTTGATTAGAAGCCCGTTTTCGTTGTTTCCTTGTTAACTGCTGTTGGTACTTTGTAGGATACTTGTTTTAAACTTCTGTAAAGAACATTACGAGCTATATCATGTAATTTAATTTTGTGCTGAATATTCTTCAAAGGATTTTATAAATAATACAATATTTTAAATGAGTCTTCAAGTCACTTGTTGTTATACCATAGTGTTGCTTTCTCCAACTTTATCTACAAACTGCAAGAAGAAAAACAGATTATTAGAAGAATGTCTACAGGAGTATACATCTTTATATCAATTTCTTAAGTCAATTTCTTAGGTGTTGATTTAAAAACTCAGCTTTATAAGATTCGTGGGAATTTAAGGTATGGTGGACGATGATGAACCCAGTGCTACTCACCACTATCTTCTGACACAAATGTGTATAAAATTTTTCTATTGGTTGTTTTTGCATGACATGTTATACATATGACTTTAAGGGTGCAACATGAGAAATTCACAATACAATGAAAAAAATTAGATAAAATGAAGTTAACACTGCTAGCTCAACACAAAAATAAAAAGCTGAAATGTCAGCCCACTCATGCATTAATGAACCCAATGAGATATTTCAACTGACCATTACTGTGCATCTCTTCTGGGCCTATGTAGACTTTGAACAAACAGATTTAACTCCATTAAGTTCAATAATTAACAATAGCAAGTGACTACAAACACTTTAAATGTGTATACTGGACTTCAGACTGAAAGTGGAAATGATGCAGCAATAATGAAAGCATAAATTCAAAATTACTGAGTACATCTTTTAACAAACATTAATGTAAGTGGTTATTTACTTTGGTTGCTCCACCCTGATATAAAGTAATTGGGCTTTCTTCAGCTTTCCAGATGGTGATGCAAACAAATATTAAAACAGAATAGTTAGTGAAGATATTAAAAGCTACAAACCCAAGTGGTTGTACTATCAAAACCTAGAGATCAGTTTCTACTTAAGTATTATAATTAAGTAACAGGAAACATAATGTACAGTAGTAGGGTCCATTTAGGCAAATATTCAAGAATCCTTATATTAAGAACATTGGTAATGATTATAACTTTATAACTAGAAGTCTCAGTGAATTCAAAGCCATTCTAAGAATAAATAGTAGTACTGTATAAGGGTGGAGATTAATGCAGATGAAATCAGGATACACCCTTATAAACCTATGCCTCAACACTGCATTTGCTCACAAACAGGTGATTAGGACCACTGAAACTAAATACTGCTATGAAAATATTCATGGTTTCTTAAATTTTCAGGTACATAAAAGTGGTAAGAAAGTACCAATAATCTCTGTCCAAAGGTAGCTTTGAGTAGGGCTGGTGCAGATGAGCCAACCTTTGGCTCTTTGAGATCAGTAAATGCCGTGGGCCATCTCTTTAGAAATATCCATTTATAAGAACCTCAACTCTAGGAAGTTGATGGCCTACTCTAGACACAGAGATTTGACAAGACTGTTCAAATTGCCCACAGAACCAAGGAAGGGAGTTCACCTTCTGACTTCCAATATAACGATGCTGCATATATTGTCAAAATGCACCCCATTTGGTGATCTAGTATAAGAAGTAATGGTGTACTTTTTACATGACTGTTCCTCAAGTATTAAAGATAATATGGCATCAAAGCACCTTGAACTCTCAAAGGAAAAGGCGGCTTAGAATATCAATCCAAATTATATTAAAAAACAGCACAATATTAAAAATTCCAGGATACACCCCTAGTTAGCCTATGGATAAGCAGGATAAGCAATACTTCTTTTCTCTGGCAAGTATTGTCTGTCTGTCATGATGTCTGTCATAATGAAAAACTGATCAATTAATCACATGTCACTTAAATTTCTAGAAGAGCAATAGAATATTTTGACTTGAGGCAATTATTTGAATACACTGCTAAATACATGACTACTTACTGATCTAATTCCAGGTAAATTCAAGAGGGACCCAAGGACCGGCACTCTTCTGATAAAGCCAACAACCACTGGAAAGAAACCCCTGCGAGGGAAGAAAGAAGTTTTAGAACTGACACATTCTGTTACCAAGCCAATCTCTAGCTAGTGACCAAAAAAGAAAAAAAGAAAGACGATTCTGCCCAAATTTGGAAGTTGCAGACACTTCAAACTTCAGCTAACATTCTTCTGTCTCCTGGGATTTGTCATCTGCTTAAGTGCCCCTGTGTTATTCTACATACACATGTACAACCGTATTCTGCTAGGATGGGTACACACAGTTTCCCTCAGTAGAACTGAGAGATTTTCTAATGTGGATTTGGTACTTGATTCATTTTATATCTCCTGTGGGTAACATGGTTCTTGGCAGATAGAAGACAAAGGCTCTATAATCCCTGAATAAATAGTTAAATAAACCTGACTTCTGTATTTTTTCACACTGCACACTACTGTTTATTCACTAGGAAATGGCTATTTGTAAAACTTTAACTGATCATTGCCTCCTGTAGCGTATTTTTAACAGAATACCGTCACATGCACTGAAGGCACTGTTACTTAGTGGCAGTAACCACGTGGTGTCAGGTTCTGTATATTAAAGTGCTACCTATGTACTATCTATCATTGTTTAACTGATAACAACAGAAATAAAGACACTGCTTTGAATTGCCAATTAAATGAGTGTTATGCAAGGAAAATACTTTACAAGATAATTTACACCCTTACATAGACCCTTTTTTGGTAGTTGATAAAATTATCTACAATGGTAATAAAAGACTGAACATAAAAAAATCCACTCAAGATACAGTCTTCTTAAAAGGATGCAAATATCTTGAGTTTCTGTCATAACTATATGACACAGTGGTTTATTGAAAGAAAAAAGATAGAATGAAGCCTTACCTGAACAAGAGAAAGAATCCGTAGATTTCAAAGATCATGCCTATCAAAGGCCAACCAACAAGGACTACAAATACACCACCCAGGAAAAATCCTGTAGCTTTCATTTTATGTTTCTGGAAGAAGAATCTGAATGTCCTCTCCAAACCAATTACAAAAGCTAAGCCAGCCACAAATAAAACCTAGAAGAAAGCCAACACAGAAAAAGTAGTTAAACATGCTGAAAGTAAGGCCCCAGCTAATTATGAGAAGAAGCAAGGAGTGGGCCGTGCATTTAAAGCTGCAGTGTGTTCCCGTCTTCAAGCCCAATGTTATTTTGATTAAGTGGAGAAAAAGAGACGAAGGCAGATTAAATGTTACAGGTGGGCGCCTGCAGTGGCTCCTCAGGTTTCAAGGGTGGGCACGGCATAGTCACGTAGATGTGTGGCAACGAATAAAAAGGTAGGCTGCCCCTAAGTACGTTACCACTAGGTGGGTCTAGTTTTGGTCAGGGAACTCCCGGCCATCACGGCCTATGGGAGTTCCTCTGGATGGCAGAAATACTGATAGGGCCACAGTGACAGTTGAAGAAACTGGGCAAAGCGAGGAAGAATGTTCTAGTGTTACTCCTGGTAACTTGGTAGCAGCAGCATTACAAACAGTCATGTATTCTCGCATACGGGTATTTGGTAGGTTTCCAGGCTAAGCAATAGTGAGCAATTACAAGTTTGCTTTTCCCAGGTTTTATTCCCAAACACTTGCCGTCCTTCACTAATTTTCTTTCCTGAAAAGTTATTTTCCACAAATATTTATAAAGCCTAATGATTACGTCTCATATTCCAAGATATCAATGTTAGTTATATTCTAATTTATGAAACACAAATTCTGGACAATTTGGTTATTCATTATATTTCCCAATTAAAAGGACAGTGGTAATGTCCATTTCAAAAAGTATTTAATCAATATTCAAGAGACTTTATTGCCCTCTTAGAAGGGTTATTATTTGTTTTGAGAACTCTTACACAACCTCCATGCATGACAACAGAATATACCTCCTAAGTTAAAATATACACATCTTTATATGCAAGTCAACCATTAATACAGAGCTGTATTTTTAAAAGGTTTAAAGAAGTTCAAAAAATCTATTTTATGCTGATGAATCAAATGTGAGAACTCAGATGTTTAAAGTCAAAATATCAACAAATTTGAAAAATCATGGGGGGCCTTATAGCCATCTAGATGGAATTCCTATTTAGAGGTACACTTATTTTGATCTCTATAAACCATGTGCCAAACAATCAGTAGAGTAGTTATGCAATTAGGAACCTTATTAACGTTTATATGTAAACAGAACGTTCTTGTTTCTGATGGAAAAAGAGAACATTACAGGAATCTTTATATGTTACTCATGTAAAAGTTAGTAACAGGCAATACTCATTTACAATTAACATTTCCTTATGAAGTTAGTTAAAATATATATTTAAAACACTCACATTTCCAATAGCCAGTAGAGCTTTGTCAAAGAAGAGAATCATTCCAAAGAACAGGAAAAACACTCCAAATCCTGTTAGCCCCATTCCAATTTCTGTAACAGAAGTTTTATGGTTAAAGGCAGAGAAATATATGTTACATTAAGATTTCTGTAAAAAAAGTAAGAAAACATTTATGTTTTTCTTTTGGCTGACAGAACAAAGTAAGTCTCCAACACTGCAGGTTAACTTCCTAACAACATTCATTAAATTTCTAACAAATTTCTAACAGCAAATTCTCCCAAAATTAAAATATGAATAGAAATGTCTTTTTTTTTTTTTTAAATATTTTGGAAACTTGTAATCCTTGTATGAGACAAAGCTTTTCTCACAACATACTCATAATACAGAGCCCTAAACCATGATTCTAGACATTTCATTTTTTTTTCCTCCCAAGAAGATCTTTGGCATCGGCCATAAATACATGTATGTGATTTACTGGTGTTTGCTATCTCTGACTACCACTTACATCACTTATTTCTCCTTTAAAAAATGATTTCTGGGCCCTCCCTGGTGGTGCAGCAGTTAAAGCACAGCACTAAGAAGCTAAAGCCACTTCAGCATGAGTTTGATCCCTGCGCCGGAGGTGACCACATGGCGGGTACCTCTCCTGATCACCTGCTGTTCCCCTCAGCAGTGTACTTCATCAGTTGGCCTGTTCTGCTCCCCACTCTGTCTCTGGTGAGTCCTCTCACCGCCCTCACACCTCTGGCCTGTATCCCAGTTCTGTACGCATAAATAAATCTTAAAAAAACACAAAAACAAAAACTGATTTCTTCTTTTAAGTCATGAGAGATGTTATGGAGTCAGCACAATACTCTCTCTCTGTCACACAGTTACTCATCTAAACAACAGGAAACAAACATTTCCAGAATTGGTGGATGTTTCCTGCTAATTTTCAAGTTAGCTAACACTTTCTACTTCCTGATGGCCCACTGTAGGTTTATTTTTGTATCTAATTTTATATATCTATCCCATGAGTATGTATTCATACAAGTAGTCTATAGAGTCCCACAACCATCTCCAAAGTTTCAAAGATTACTGTTTCAGCTAATAAGACTACTGTGTTTTATTTTCATTGAAAAACAGAGATTTACTGAACACGCCCTACATGCTGGCCATGGCTCCAGCTACTGAATTTACAGAGGTGGACAGAGCGTTAGCTGAGGACTGACTTTGCCTCCTCTGAGACTTATCTGTTCTAGCCCGGAGCCTTAACTTTCAAAGGTCACAGTTGTACTTTTCTTCTAATGCCACACGGCACAATCCACTTAATCACTTTCTTGGTCTTTGATTGTTTCCACAGCAACAATTCTTGCTTTATCTGGTAGTATTAGCTGCAGAAAATAATGAACCAGAGCAGAAACCATCATATTTTTGGAAACACAATGATTTCTGACCTGTTACTTAACTTTTTTGGCCTTGGCTCCAGAAAGCCAAATCTAGGTCATAGCTATTTAATTTTTTTTGTCACGCTGTATAAAATGTTCTGATAAGTTGAAAATTTCTCTTGTATACCTTTTTCTATACCCTTCACTTCTACAATTTACAATTAACTAATACCTTTTATTCTAGCTGTTTTTTCCTCTTTAGTTAGCCCAAAGAATTCATGTATCTGCCTCTAAATGTGCTGCTGTATTTTACAGACATATATCCCTATGAGAACTTTAAGTTGATACTTCATATTTAAATGACGTATAAGAATTTCCCAAAATAAATTTAGATGTCAGACAACTTCCCAGAGGAAAATAAGGATGAAGGAACAAGTAAAATTCCATGAAATAATTATTCATTAACCACTTAGGATTCAATTACTGGCAGTTGAGTTATTTGAATATGAATAATTTTATCTTTTCATAAATGATCCTAACCAAACCTTTTGAAGTGTTTGTTGATCAGAAAGGGAATTACATGGAAAACTATGTATTGAGAATTTACTAAGAGTTAGCCATTATGAGGTACTTTACATACATTATATAATGCAATCCTCCTGATACTGCAGTGAAGTGAGTATCATTATGCCATTTTAGAGATGAAGTAAACTGAGTTTTACAGAATTGACTACTTTGCCTAATGTCACACTTCTGGTTAAATATTTGAACTACATCTATTTGAATCCAAAGTCCATGTGCTTAACCAAATGTCATACTGCTTCTTACAGGATGTTTTTTTTCTAGGTTGAATGTTTGATTAAATGAAACTCAAGGACATTGGAGCATACAGATATTCTGGGCAAATCATCTTTCAGTGATTCAAGATTCATAAGATTAATGTGTGATCTAACATAACTCAAAACTATTAAAAATGGAGTGCAGTGAAAAAGTCTGAATATGGTTTTACATTTAATGAAGTATTTCTATAAATACCTTCTTAATCCCTGTAACACAGCTGTAAGGTAAAGAACAGCACCAGTCCTGTGTTTCACATGGCCAATCAAAGACGCAGATTAGGTAACTACCCTTAATCATGGAATCAGAAAGAGTGTGTGTGCCCACATGTATGTTTTGGGGGTGGGGTAGTGAGAGGCAGGGTGGTGGTGAGGCTCGACTTTAAGTATAGTCTTCAGACTTCACAGCTATAATTTGAGAACCAAATGCTCCTCATCTTTACCCATTGCAATCTAGCATCCAACAGCTGCCTATAACATCTTTGCCAAAAGAAGGAGTGATCAAAAGTTTCAAACAGGCCTCCATGCCATTCCTATCTTCAGAATTCCCTTCTTCCCTAGGTTAACACATTCTCAAGTCCAATGGTTGGTAAAGCCCAAAAAATAAGACCACTCTCACCATCAGCATCATATGTAACAAATTACATTTACTCTCCTCTTGTGCACCATCAAACCTTCATCTCTCTTATCTCTTGTGTTTTAAAAGACAACTTGATAAAAGCAACCTAACAAACTGGTCTAAAAATAGTGCAGTGTGGAAATTTTATTGAGATACGTTTAATGCAATAACAATTGCTGCCAACACTCTGATATATTATTTTAACAATTTGAAAATGGCATTAGCTTTTTTACTACACCTTTTACAAAACAGAAAATATCATAATAAAGAACGTGAATATCAATTTAAGTGAATTCAATGGACTGCCACAGTAGGTTTTCAGGCAATGTAACATATAGGTTTGGGAGATGGGAGGGGAATGATCTCACTCTTGTTCCCTTCAGTAAACGTTATAAGCTTATTTTTTGGGGGGTGGGGAACTATTAAAGAACTCCTTAAAAAAAACCCAATTGCTATCTACTCTATTCTGATCAGTGTTTGCTTACTCTCTCTTGGATTCAGAAATCCAGAACAAGCTTGGCTAATCACTTTGATAACCAATTCCTACAATTGTACACACACACACACCCACCCCCATTTGAAATTATGGTCACTAACTATTTTGTGCTCTAATCCACTTTCTATTGGAAGCATTGTTCCAATAAGCAGCAAAGAGCATACTTTTTTCTTCAGTTTAATTAAGTGAGGACACTTCCTCTTCTGCCAATACTTCACCCAATTCCTTTGTCCTGGATTATGGAAGGGTGTAAATCAGGCATTAATCACTGCAAGAATCCGACAAAAGAGAATGTTTATATGAAGGACAAAGATTTATATTTTTATATATGTAATTATCACAGAGTCAGACAAAGAGCAGTAGTAATAATTTAGATAGGAAATCTACATACAAATTCAGTATGTCCGCTGAACAATCAAGAAATAGAAATAAATACCAGCAATTTCTGTACACAATTTTGATAATTTCTCTGCACAGCCCAATTTTAATTTGTGGTCTCAAATGAGAGTACTGTGTATCATAAGGAAAAGAGGCTCTGGGTATCATACACAATCTCTGAAAAAAAAAATCAACGCATAATTTACAGGGTAAATATCTACTAGTGAAACTATTTTTGCTATTGAAAAACTCCATCATACTAACATTTCAAAATTTATATCAAATCTTGTTAGATGCTAATAGGGTATTGCAAAGACAGCAAAGGTTTTTGAGCCAGCAGACCAGGGATCAAAAGACCAGCAGATCTGGTTTGTGTCAGTTTCTTTCTAATCACACATGCAAATTCTTTTAAAATATATGAAAGAGATATTCTTTGTTTTACAGAGTTTTTATAGGAAATATGGGTAAAAATTATATGAGTACACTTGGTAAACTGAAAGATGTCTTCATACAATTGCTAAATTTTATTGTAACAGCAAACAAACAACAAAAGGACTATACCCATTTTCTCTGATCAGAACAGGTGACCCTGCTCTGTATGGGCATCCTTGGATGCTGACCCTGACACTTAGGTACATTACATTTAGGTAATGGGTAGGTTATGCCAAGCAGCAGACTTGGTCGTCTGGAAGGAAGGAAGCTTCATTAAGGTGACAGGGGATGTGTGTAAGGCAGACCTTACAAACTCTATGAAGATCAAGTCAGCGAGAGATGAAACCGCAAGCCTCCATTTTGGGGAGATTTTAAATAAAGTTCTATTTTCACTTCAACAGTCTATCAATTGTTAAAATCTTGAACACTAACAGTAAGATAAGCAGAATGTGAAGAAAGTGCATGGCAGACATAAAGCGAAACAGAAAGACTATGAAACACAGGGTTGGCGGACATGTGGACACAACAATCACTAAGCTACTAAGATGGGTAAGTAGAAGTTTCCAGCTAAAGGAAAGGCAAGGAAAGTCATAGCATTGCAAAGTCTGAAGATAAGACAGGCCTGGTTAACTAACTCTGTGCAGGCAGAAAGGGATGCTAAAATAGTAACACAAAGCACCATATACAGTATTAACCAAAGAAATCGCGTCACGGAACACAAAGTGTCTTTTACTATTGTTGGAAGACTACCGAGTTGACAAGCAAATAGCAGTAATAAAGAACGTGGAAATTCCGGCAGGTCACTTTCCGTGGTGGCAAAAGGCGAATATTCAACATACTTCAGAGTAGGAAGATTTTCTAGAAGAGCCTACTACAGGTGACGTTTAAAACACCGCCTCCTGAACCACGAGCCAGTAACTTGTGGAGGACCCAAAGAGTGCCCTGTGCAGAACCGTCCCCAAGAATGGGCCGCGGGCACCACGCACCAAACTTTCTCTAGTGGCCGCCAGCAAACAAAGCGACCCTCTCGGTGGGGCCAGGAGCGGCGACCCTGGTGCCGAACATGCTCAGCGAAAGCGCCCCTTCCTCGGCAGGGACGCCCAACAGCCCCCACAAACCCCCCAACCCCCCGGGACCAGGTTCGCCACCGCAAGGCCTCCAGTGCCCACAACCCGAGTCCCCTGTCGCAGGCCACCGCCCCCGCCGGGGAGCTTCATTCATTGACCAGGGCAGAGGGGCGGGCGAGCCCCAACCCCAGCCCCAGTGCGCGAGGCTCGCAGCGCGGTCCCGGCCCGGCAAGTGCTTACTCTGGGTGTCTGTTAAGGAGATCATGGCTGCAGTGGCGAGGGCAGCGGCGGCAGCAGCTCCGGGAACCCAAGATGTGAAGCAAAGCCGGGAGGAATGAACCGGGGAAACAGCCCAGGCGAGAGCCGCCACGTCTTCCGGAAACACGCAGCCACCCCCACCCCCCATCAATGTCGCTTCCTATTGGCTAAACCGGCTCTCAAAATTCACCAAGCAAGTGTGGTTTTGTTCGGTGACGTAAACGGTAGCCACACCCCTTGACCAATTAGAGAAGTGACTTACTAGCGATTGGTAGAATGGCCCGACCCGGAAGGGTGGGTGCTCCTGGCCGGGAAGAAAGGGAAGCCTGGTGGCGGGAAGTTGGAGACTGGGGAAAGCGGTGCGTAGAGATCCTGAGCTCCCGGCGCTGTGGGGTTGCAGAGCCGGAGGGTGCTTTGGGAGGTGGCTCTATAGCCTGTGAGGAGAAGTCTCTGAAGTTCTCCTAGAACCGCTTTGTGGGCTCACCTTTTCCCTTCTTCGATGGCGAGGCCGGGTTGTTCCAGATCACGTCCTTTCCACCCTTACTTGGCAGGGGAAAAAGAGGGGCTTTAATCAGCGCCCACTTCTTGGGGAAGTCGGGCTTTTAGGGGCACGTTCCCCTGCCAGCTCGTTTCTTTTCTTCTCCCTTCCTACCCCCTGCAGCCTTTCCAAGCAGAAGGCTTGATCCTTCTAGTTTATTTACTGGGAAACAGACTTGGGGTGCGTTACATGTAAGCGAGGGTGTGATTAAATTGCGGGTGACTGGAGAGGGGGTGTGTGTGTCCTATTTAGCCTCAACGGCTTTGTATCTTAATGACATTTTTGTCCAGGATCTATAACCCGTGAACATTTTCCTGTGGGTGCCTAGTTTATATTTCTCACTGGTAGACCTGCTTTACTAATTTCTGAACAGACTTTATGTTGACATCCATCCTGTGGGAAAGGAGTTTATGCGTACGAGTTTATGAGCACTTTTTTAGTGGCATGACCAAAGTCGTTTAAAACTGGGGGGGTGGGGGGGGTTGAGGGTGGGAGCTGGGGAGGGACTGGGAGGGGGAGTGGTTAAAGGCTTTGCTTTCATAAGGGTAGGCATGGCTGCTGCTTTCCATTTATCAAACCTGCGCCTGTATGTACTGTATGCAGAGAATTTGTGACAATGTGAATATAGAGGTGAGAGACTGATTGTCTCCCCTACTGCAAGAGAGCTTTGCAGTCTAGAGAAGGATCTTGATTTCCAGAAGTGATGAAGAAATGTTCAGAAGAATAAAGTTTTCACTTTACTTTCCAACTTAAACATTTTTAGTTGTGGGCTATTCCAAACTCCTTAGCAGGACACAGAGACAAACAAACAGAAAACCTCCTCTCCCCCCTCCCCCCCCAACCCCAAACAAACAAAAGTTATCTTTCTAACCTAGTGGTGGCTTCAGATTTCTACATTGGAAGCGTGATGCTGAGCTATGTTTGGAGAACATTATATGTTAGTTTTACAAGATATTGCAAAATTGGGGAAGGAGTTAATGGAGTTTATGGATAATCTGAACTTCCTACATGCAAGCCTTATCTCCCACTACTTTTTTACATGTATTTATCAATTTCAGTGACCCTTAAGGTTTTTTTTTCTAAAGTTTTATCCCTGTTAATATTTTCTCCTTCTCAAAATTAAAACCCTCCATACAAAACTAATTTCTTCTCTAACACTAAGCAAATATTTAATAAAAATGCTAAATGGGCCCTCCCTGGTAGCACCGCAGGTTAAAGCACAGCACTAAGAAGCTAAAGCCACTTCAGCATGAGTTTAATCCCGCCCCCCCCAGGTGACCCACATGGTGCTGCAGACCTCTACTGACCTGCCAGCTGTTCCCCTCAGCAGTGTACTTCATCAGTTGGCCTGTTCTGCTCCCCACTCTGTCTCTGGTGAATCCTCTCACAGATGCTGCATCTCAGGCCTGTACCCCAATTCTGTGTGCATAGGGAAATAAATCTTAACAAACAATGCTAAATGACTCGCACATATTAATGGGTTTTGCTTAATCTGGGGCACTTGAAGCTGTCCATTTTGTTACTTATGATAAGTCCAATTTTTTAAAAAAGATTTATTTACTTATGCACACAGAATTGGAGTACAAGCCAGAAGTACAGGGGCGATGAGAGGATTCATCAGAGACAGAGTGGGGAGCAGAACAGGCAGATCTTCAAAGTACACTGCTGAGACGAGCAGTGGGTGAGTCAAGAGAGGTCTGCTGCACCCTGTGGGTCACCTCTGGGGCCACACATCAAACTTACACTGAAGCTGCCATGGCCAGCTTGCAGTGCTGCATCCTAACCTGTTGCACCACTAGGGAGGGCCCGATATAGTCCAATTTTATAGCTAGGGAAAAAGGCTGAGGAAAAAGGGATGAGTGTAATTTGGTGAGGTCACACGGTAGAGTGTTCAAACTGATGAACCTTCAAGCCTTATTTATTACTACATCACTTTATGTCTGGTAGATGTTTGTCCTTGTTATCTGTCTATGTGACTTTTTAGGCATTAAAATCTGGGGACCTTACCAAAAAAATAAGCTTTTTTTTTTGATAATTTGAAAGTATATAATCTATTTTCTAACTTTTTTTAATGCATAGTGATGACAGATTATTGTTGATTTTTTTTTTAGAAAGAAATTTGGAACTGCAGTTCAATTTTAGAATGGCATCTGTTTCAGGTTAGTATATTGTATAGGTCTACTTTTAATTTACATTTTCAAAAAAAAAATTGCTTTCTCGGTACCTTCCATTCAATTTTGCCGTGACCTTTAAACGTCTCTTTAAAAAGTCTTAACACAGCACCAAGGACATCTTTAAAAACAGCTTCTGTTGAAGTAGCAGCAAAAGGAATCTCACTTTGACTTGAATACTAGGATTGATTAGAATTATATGTTAAGGCATATTTATAAATTAGTTACAGTTGGATTGTAATGTCAGTTCCAATAGTACAGTCAGTTTCTCTTTTTACATGTTACATGGTCTTGACTATAATCACCAATTCCTTATTGTGCCATCATGTGAACCCAAATACAAATGTTTTTGTGAAATAATAGCTAGGGACTTAATTTTAAATAGCTCCCTTTTGTTTGAAAGTCTGGTCACATTACTTAAATGATTTAGGAGATCGTGAGACTGTTCCCCAACAAAATAAAATAATAAAAATAATAACTATCTTTTATTATTTGCTTAATTGTGTACTAGGTAGTCGTGAACTTCCAATGTTATCTCACTTAATTCCTTATAACAGTAATTAGTGAAAGCTAAGTATTATCTCCATTATATAGGGGGAGTTTGAGCATTAGGTAAATACCCTGCCTGAACTTACTCAACAGGTAAGAAAGATTTAACTCAGGTCGGTTCAACTCTAAAATACCTATTCTTAACCACTCTGCCATCCTACTTTATTTTTGGATGTAATTTAGGTGGTATGGAATATCCAAAAATTAACAAAAAGCCCTGAAAGTGTAACTGTCTAGTCATTGTATTTTTTTCAATTCTCATAGCTTTGACTGAGGAACTGGAGGCTGTAACCAGTGAGCTACATGCAGTGGATATTCAAATTCAAGAGCTTCTGGAAAGACAGCAAGAGCTTATTCAGAAGAAAACCCTCCTGGCAAATAGAATAAAGCAATGTTTAGATGATTCGGATGCTGGGGAAAGCAACGAATGTGATTCTTCACCTGCGGCTTGGAATAAAGAAGGTTTATTCATTCATTTATTTTCTCTTTGCTAGTTTTGTTTCATGTTTCCTTAAATTGGAGTTAAATCATTCTGCCTGGGCCAGTACTGAAAGCTCTTATAGGTGAAACTAGCCGTTCCTTAAATGGAACAGGAATCTAGCAAGCAGACCACTTTTTTAACCCCTGTTCTGTTTGACTCAAGCTTTTACTATACAGACTATTGTTTTTTCCAAATCGATCCTAACAGCATTAGTCTACCCTTGGAAAAATGTTAGCTATTTTAACTGAGTTTTTAAGTTTTAACTAAACACAATAAACAAGAGAAAATTATTCAAGCTCTTTGCCAGTTCATTTTCCATAGAAAGAAAACTCTCTAGAGAGATCTTAATTCAAGTTCTGTTCATTAAAGTGGAACATTCTACCTCTAGCTGGGCAGTGCAGTGCTTTTGAATACCTTGTTTTCCAGTGATTCACTTATTAATGAGAAATTTATACCCCAAATTCCATATAATTATTATTATTTATGCATACAGAACTGGGCTACAGGCCAGAGGCACAGGTGCAGTGAGAGGATTCACCAGAGACAGAGTGGGGAGCAGAACAGGCAGATTGACGAAGTACGTTGCTGAGGGGAGCAGCAGGCGAGACAGAAGAGGTCTGTAGCACCATGTGGATCACCTCCAGGGTGGGGGATTGAACTTGCCCTGAAGCAGCTGCGGCCAGCTTGCAGTGCTGCATCCCAGCCTATTGCACGGGCCCTCCAGATAATTAGTAACTTTATGATATTTAAGATTTTTTTACGATACTCTTGAATTCTGTGATCTACACTGGGACTGTTGCTCAAAAGGCCTGTCAGTCACCAACTCTTCTGTGTAGATTGATGCTCAACTGGCAAGCATTTCCAGTTTTTCTGAATGCACTTTTTCTTATGGTAGATCATTAACTTTGTTTTTTTTTTTTTTTTCCATTAACTTTGTTTTTGCTTAGCTTAGTGAGTTAAACTGACCTCAAAATTATTAAAATCAAAGTTTAACTTTTTCAGTATTAGAAAAAGTCTTACATATGTTTGTTTCAGTCTTTGTTATAAAAGCAGCCATTTTGGGCTTCCCGGTGGCCTGGGGTTAAGTCTCAACACCATCACTGCAGTGGCCCACATGAAGGCCTGAGTTCTGTCCCCGGTCAGGGAGGTGACCACATGGCACAACAGACCTCCCCTCTCTCTCCCTGCTCCCCTTAGCAGTATATTTCAGTAGATCTGCCTGTTTTGCTCCCCATCTTTATCTCTGGTGAATCCTCACACCCTCTGTACCTTAGTTCTTCTATGCAAAAATAAAATCTTAATCATAAAAGCAGACATTTAAATGTATGTCTTAGCTACATTCCTAAATGTTGTGATACTCTCCTCTCATTTCTTTTTCTAGATTTTACATGGTCTAGCAAAATTAAAGAGGTTCTACAAAATGTCTTTAAATTGCAAAAGTTCAGACTCCTTCAGCTTGAAACTATTAATGTAACCATGTCTGGGAAGGACATGTTTCTTGTGATGCCCACAGGAGGTGGAAAGAGCTTGTGCTACCAGTTGCCAGCATTGTGTTCAGACGGTATGTATTAATACACATTCATTTTAGTAAGAAATCTTGGTGCTCTTACTACATTTATAAGACCTTAAAAAAAACCCTAACCATACACGTGTAAGACTCAAGTGCATTCTTTGTTTTCAACACTAAAAAATACTATGGGTTTCCAGAGGGGAGGGAAACATTTATGAAAGTAATTAATGCTTTTACCTGGTTCCTGGAGAAAAGGTAACTGGAAAAGGATTTAGTAGTACTTGATTTTGGTTCATCTTCATGATCTGCCATGGCCGTAGGCACTGGAGTTACAGGCGTGGCAACCTGCCCTCTGTCCCGGCTCACAGCGCTCTTAGAGCAGCAGTGTCTCTGCCTGGACACCGTGGGCCTGCATATTTAAGTCAGTATGGGATCCACAGGCTTGCATTTCTGCAGCTCCCCAGTGATCCTGACGTTGGGGAGACCCTTGAGTACAGGCAGGGGTTAGCACACTTCCTTAAAGAGCTGGAGAGGAACTATTAAAGATTTTGTGGCTTCACTGTTTTTGGTCTGATGACACAACCTTGCCTTTGTATCAGGGAAGCAGCCACAGATGGTATTTTGTTAGCTGTGTCAATTAAAAAGCTTAACTTGGAAAAACAAGCAGCCAGCACTTACTGTATTGTCCTGTTCTTGGGAGCTTTTCAAAAGTTCACCTTAAGCCATCTTTACCAGAGTCAGTACTGTGTTAGCACTTGTTTTCACTCAAACAAATCTGATGAAAGATGTAAAGCTTTGCGTGTCAGCTTGGTTCTGGGGCTACTGTTCCAGAGGCAGCAGCTCCCTGAGCAGTGAGGGGCTCTCCTGGGCCTTCCTTGGGATGTTTTCTACAGCTCTGTATTTAATCACATCATTCCTGATTTTACTCGATGTTCTTTTAGTTTCGTGTGTTGTTTGGTGATGTGTGATTTTTGGACCTGGGAATGCTTAAAATTCTTTCCATATTAATGACAGTTACTTCTTTGCTCGATGCCAGTTTGACTCACCAGAAGTCCTAGGAACGCTGTTGTTTCAGATAGCAGGGAAAACATGCAGTTGCAGTAAGGGTTTTGAGGTAAAGGTTTTAGTGGGGAATTGAGTGTAGAGCGCTGGTCCAGCAGCTGTCAGAGAAGTCCTTCCTGAGGAGATATCATGGGAACTGAAAGAGCGCTAAGTCAGCACAAAGGCAAGTGCTGGAGAGGAGAGTGTTCATCATTGTGAGGAGCCAGAAGAAGTGGGGCTGGTAAGAGGGACAATCTCTGGACAAGAACTATTTTGAAAGGAAAGAAGAAGCCCCAAAAGTAGGTGTGCAGGGTTACAGCAAGTTGGGAGAGACTGGAATATGCTGACATTTTACAGGAAGTTGACAGTAAAGTGGGTGACAGTAAAAATAAGATGTGGGGCTTGCTGCATTCAGTCACGGGGGGGTTCCCAAAGTGGCCAGCAGGTGGAGGCAAGACCCAGGAGAGCATGCTTAAAATTTTGGGGTGAACTTCTTCTTATAATAGGAAGACTATGAAGGGAGGGGTTTGTACAGGTAAGACTTAGATTTGCCATTTAAAAGGATAATTCTAGCAAGTGCAGGTATTCCAGAGATATTTGGGAGATAGATTCAGTAGAAACTATAATTCATTGGATAGGGCTCGGGGGAGGTAGAGTAGGGGAAGGACAAGCAGTAGTTGAGTGATGCCCAAATTTTAGGCTGGGACACATGGTGAGGTTCACTGAAATAGGGTGTGCTGGCAAAAGAACTTAATCAGAATTGGTGATTGGGGAGACAACAAATTCAGTTTGTGACCTGTTGGATGTATAATGCTTCTGATGCTTGGTTTAAACCTAGGGCCTCTGGGATCTGAGTTAGCTGAGTTGGAGGTGGTTTGGATAGAGAAGGAGAGAGTGATGAAAGCCATGGGAATGAATTATACACTCAGCAGTGTGACAAGAGGGCTAAGAGCAGAGATCAGAAAGCTAGAAGTGCAGGGATAACAAAAAGCCTCTCAGAGAAGCAGCAGCTTAGTATAGGGGGATAATCAGGAAAAGATGGTAGTAACAGAAGCATAGAGAAGGGGGGAGTGGTTAAAGGTTAAAACTGTTGAAAAGGCCTAGTAAAATAAGGACTTAAACATCCCACTGGATTTAGCAACAAGGAACTCATCTTGATTTTGGGAGATCAGTGGAACCCAAATCTCAATGGTTTGGAAGTGAGTAGGAACTGAGAAAGTAGGGCTAGTGAGTAAGATCTCTTTGGAAAAGAACTGCTTTGAAAGGAAAAAGAGGACCCAAAATTAGGAATGCAGGGTTATATCGAGATGGGAGAGTATGTTGAAATGCATGAGAAAGTGCCAGTATTGTGGGTGAAAGTAAAAGAACTGGCGACAGGATAATGGAGAGGGTGAATCCATAATTTGAGTCGATTTTTTAAATGAGTCTGCTCTCTGCTTGATGTTATGTTAAGGAACAAATTACAGAAACATAAGGTCATATGCTTTTTAATAATGTAGACTAGCCCTTGTAGCTTTAAACCATTTTAGTTTGGAAAGGGATATATTGCCAGAATTCATCAGGCCAGTAAACTGATAAACACAATAAATTTGTCTGCAGTAAGCGGAAGACTATTCCTGTAACTATTATTCTTAACACAGGTTGCTATTTTGACTTTGGAAAGCTTTAGAATAACTTTGCCCTGCTGCAACTGGGTAGTATAATCTTGATTTGTATTGTTTTATGAGATAACCAATATTGATTGTAACAAGTGCTAATTCTCTAAAAATTCAGAATAACACTCATCTCTTTTTATGGGCTGAGTAAGAAAAGAATTTTGAAACTATATTTCTAGCTTTTTGGCTGACAATCATTTCTTCCTACCTACCTCTTTTATTAAGGAGAGTAGGTAGTATATTGCTAAAGCTGCATTAAAAATTAGTCTGAACTGATGGGTGGCCCCCTCAAGTTACAGTAAAGAGGTGGTTTTATTTTGGTGGTTATGTAAAATTTAAAGTAGATTTTTTTTTTCTTTTAGGTTTTACACTTGTGATTTGCCCATTGATCTCTCTTATGGAAGACCAATTAATGGTTTTAAAACAATTAGGAATTTCAGCCACCATGTTAAATGCTTCCAGTTCTAAGGTATGCATCTGTGGGTTTTTTTTTTAATCTACACTCCTTGCTCTAGTAAAAGCCTTAGCTACACTGGAGTTGCTTATAAAATTGCAAAATGACAACTACCTCAGGAGTTGTAAACTACTAGTCAGTCTAGCCCACTAGCTGTTTTGATATGACCCATAAGCTCAGAATGGCTTTTGTGTTTTGAGTGGTGAAAAAATACCAAAAGAATAGTTGGTGAAGCATGAAAATTGTGTGAAATCCAGGGTTCAGTGCCCATCCATGAAGTCTGATTAGAACACAGCCATGCTTACGCACTTACATAAATGCGTGCTGAATCTTCTCAGATGCTTTCTTAGCATTTTTTGATACAGACACTTGTTTTTTTTAATCTTTCTTTTGTTGATGTGGTGGATTACACTGATCTATTTTCAGATGTTGAATCATTATTATATCTGGGAATAAATCCCTCTTGGTCATGTTATGTGATTCTTTTAATGCATTTTTGTTGAATTCATTTCACTATGATTTTGTTAATGCTTTTGCACCTGTGTCCATCAGGGATATTGGTCTGACTTTTTTGGTGATGTTTTATTATTTGCCTTTTTTGTGTGTGATTGGAAATGCTTGATATATTTTGATCTTCATTTTATTGATTTTATCTTACTACTTGTAGAATGTTATTTGTGGGAGGTGAGACTATAGGTGCTTTTTATGCCATCATCTTAAACCCACCCTCCAAGGATAAATTTCACGCACAGACATATGAAGTAATTACAAATACATTGTTAAAATGAATAAGACCCAGCTTTATAATCATTTAGCTTACATTTTAAAATTTATTATGAGCAATTTAGAATTATGCCCTTGCAGAATAAATGCTTTTTGGAGTATCTTTTCACATTTCTATTTTGTTCTTTTTGCCAAATAAGATTATTTTTCTATCATCAACACTTTGGATGTAAGTAACTAAAATACTGTTTACACAGCTGCTATCAAGTTTAGCAGTGGGACATGTTTTGATTTTTAATGAACTAAGCATTTGCTGCTAGAATAGCTGTAGGCTGCCACCTTTGGGTAATGCCTGTGTCATTGTGTTTGTTTTTTACTTTCAACAGGAGCATGTGAAATGGGTTCATGCAGAAATGGTAAATAAAAACTCCAAGCTCAAGCTAATTTATGTGACTCCAGAAAAAATTGCAAAAAGCAAAATGTTTATGTCAAGATTGGAGAAAGCCTATGAAGCAAAGAGGTTAACCCGAATTGCTGTGGATGAAGTTCACTGCTGCAGTCAGTGGGGACATGATTTTAGACCTGGTATGTATGTTGTCTCTTAGAAAAGTCCGTCGTGCTAGGTCCTGTTTTCTTACTCAGCTTCACATGATGAAAATCCTTACTTTTAAAATGATCCTCTTGGGTAGTTATTACTCATTTTCTTTTACCCTGTAAGGGGGCCCTAGAAGCAGAATTTTTAATCTCTTTATTCCCTTTTCTGTCATGTTTAGTCTTATTTCCTTTACTGTTTGGTATGTGTGATTGTTAGCAAATACAGTTTAGGCATCACTTAATGACTGGAATACTTTATGAGAAATGGAACATTAAGTGCTTCAGTTATTCTTCTGAACATCCTAAGATATAACCACATCAGCACACGTGGTGTGTTGCACACGATTGAGATCACAGTTGTATATGCAGTTCTGCACTGTATTGTTCTCGCCCATCTTGTGGCATTTTCTGACCTCCCACTTCTCCTTCACATGCACTGAAGGTGCATCTGCTCTGTAATTTGTTGTCTTTCGTCATCATACTGAGTATCCCGAGGATCTGTTGAACCATTGTCTCAACGTGAAAGTTCTCTGGGACATTTTAGTAGCCTTTTTTTTTTATTCCTTCAACTTTGACTGCCCAGCCAAAACTTGAAGCAGATTGCTGAACTTGTTCTGTGGAAAAATATCATAAGTTAGAAAACCCTGCTCTCTGATTTCAGCCTCTTGTGAAGCAGTTTTGGCACCTCTTTGGAGCTCTTGGTTCCTCTCTCCTTGCATTTGCCTGTGGCTCTGGCTCGCATGAGAGGTCACTTCTGCCCATGCAGACTCTGCTGTCGCCTCTTCTGTTTCTCCTGCACTGCGTGGTGTGGCCCCCGTCTGCTGTAAGCAGTGCTAGGTAAAGGTCCATTCCGACTCTGCTTTTCCCATTCATGCTATTTGGCTATTGAACTTTGCTAGGAAAATTGTGTAATTCTATTCATTGCAACCACAGTTCACCTTTCTTTACACTCCTTTCCTCTTGTCCCTATTTATCCCCTTTATACATTTCTTCCAGCAGGCTTTTCATGTCATTAACATTCTCTTTAGGCTCTAACTCCTCTGCCTAGCAGATGCCTCCACCTTCCCACAAAACAGGTGCCATTAGATATGGACACTCCCACTTTCTCTTCCAAAATATTGGTAATCTCTGTCTTAATGCTTGTTTCAGCTCATCCTTTGCACTGCCACCAAAAGGTGACTTCTGAAATACATCTATTTCTGTCTTTTTTCTGCTTTAAATCACGTAATGACTCATTTCCTACTAGATAAAGCTTTCATTCTAGAATCAACCGACTCTAACCATGGCCTCACTCGAAGCTGAGCTTTTATATTCTTCTCTGTAACAGGGTTTGGATGGGGAAGAGAGCTACTATGAATGTTAAAGAAAAGGATTTATTTAGGAAGTAGACTTGTCATGTTGTAGGAGGAGCTGGGGAAAGGACAGTCTGAAGGTGGAATTGGAAGATCAGAAAAAAATCACTAGGTAGTGCCAAAGTTGTGTGAGGACCAGATGGACATGGTAGAGAATTTTCACAGCATGGCCAGAGCCAAATGGGTCAGAAAGGGGTTGATTTCAAAACTCTGGCAAAGCTGTTTCCTCTGAGTAGCTGCCGCCACTGTGGGTCTGCTTCCAAGCGTCGTGTAGGGGACGGTTGCTGGGCAAGGCCTGCAGGAGAAAAGGAATGGAGAACACTGGGACAACCAGAGCTGGTTGGGCAGCTTTGCTCCTGTCCAGCCCTCTCCCTGGACAGACAGGAGAATGGGGCCCTGGTTCACTTTTCCCTCTCTTAGCCTGCACAGCTTCCTCTCGGAGCCACTCAGGGAAGGGAGCTCTTGGCTTACTGGAGCTGAGCAACTCCTCAGGCCCCACCTTCTGTGATTTAGCCTCACCGAGCTGCTTGCTGGTGACAAAACCTGCCGCTGATCTCACGCTGGAGTGTTTGCAGCATTTCCCCTACTGGACGGCTCTCTTCTTCTTCCCTTCCTGGTGAACCTCTGCTCACTTTTCATGACCCAGCCCATGTGTTACCTGTCACAACTTCCCAAGCAGTTACTTTGTCTCTGGATTTTCATTGTGGCCTTCTGCTGTAGCAGTTGCTACCATGTTCCTTCTTCACCTTTCTTTAGGTAGTTTAATGCCAAGGAGGGAAAGCTTATCTAGTGATTTAGATGTATAGGGCAAAGGTGGTTTAGCTGTCTAAGTCCAGAGTGGCTTCTGAAATAGGTTATATACAAACCAATGCCCAGACCAACCTTTTATGACTTTAACTTGGCACTCTGGGATGATGTTGGGGATGGTGGAGGGTTTGGTTGAGGCTGCTTTTCTCGCATATGTTGTAATATTGATAGATTCCAACAATGACTACTCCCCCTGCCTCTTCTTGCATCTACTGTTAAGCAGACAGCGCACAGCTTATAGGAAGTGCCCAGGTGTTGTCTTCAATAGGGGTTTGCACCCGTGGCCAAGAACAGTGCTTCTGAAGAGCCAGTTTAAAGTTAATAAAGCTGCCTGTTGAAGAGGGTAGTGGCTGCAGATTTACTGACAGAGAGCCATGGCAATGCCAGGAGTCTTCGATGCTTGTATCATGTTAAAAAGTGCAGTTTGCTTTATGCCACAGAGGATAGAGAGGGCCACTTTGTACTTTCCTTCTAGATTATAAGGCCCTTGGGATCTTAAAGCGGCAGTTCCCCAACACATCGTTAATTGGACTGACAGCAACCGCAACAAATCATGTTCTCAAGGATGCTCAGAAAATACTGTGTGTTGGAAAGTGTTTGACTTTCACAGCTTCTTTTAATCGGCCAAATCTTTTTTATGAGGTATGTAACTTTTATATCAAATTATTTTTGTGATGAATGGTAGCAGAGAGGATACCATTTCACTGTTTATTTACGAGTTAACTGTGTTTAAAAGTTTTTAAGATCAGGAGGTAACTATACACATATGTATTAATACTTTTTCATATAGCTCTTGTGTTATTTAATCCTGTGTCAGGTTAAGTAGAAGACTCCTTGTAAACTGACATTCAGCATCTGCAAGGACAGAGAGGAATGCACTGATCCCAGGGTCCCTAATAACATTTGCACCACAAGTCATCACTCAGTGGAGCTAAGCTAATGTGCTGTTGCAGATCTCATGCAGCCACGCACTGCACGTCCGGTGATCCACAGGTCACATGCACAGCCATGGTGCTCGCACGGGACAGTCAGGCCTGTGTGGAGGAGGCTATGCTGCCCGGGCTTGTGTGATTATACTCTTAGATGGTCACACATCAAAATCACCTAAGGACAAGTTTCTCAGAAGGTTTCCCTGTTGCTGAGCAACATGGGCTGCTCTCTGTTGAGATTGCCTTCATTACATGGCTTTGGAAGTGAAATAGCCTAACAGCTATATTTAAGAATATTCAACATTTTCGTTGAAGAGTTATTTATGCCACGGTTATGCTTTTATAAGAAACATCAGGGAAAAAGTATATTATCAAGTATCCACTGCTTCTGTGCCTCCTTGTCTCTTGAGAAATTAAAAAATCAAGATCAAGGAAAGAGTCCAGTGGGCTGCTGGCGTGAGGCAGATTCGGTGGAAGTAGAAAAAAGGCCATGCTCGTGAAAGACTGGTGCCCGAGAGATGTCAGTAAATGACTGCTTGCTTGGACTGTCCTCAGCAATTTACTTATTACCAGTTAGCTTCTTTTTAGGTTCGGCAGAAGCCCTCGAACACAGAAGACTTTATTGAAGATATTGTAAAACTCATCAATGGGAGATACAAAGGGCAATCAGGTAATATAAAAATAAACCAACTTTGAAGACTGAACTTTCAGAAATAAAGCTCTGATACAATATATCTATAAGCCATTAGCACCAAAGACAACCAGTGCATGGTAGGAGATAACTTGAAAATGTGATGAAATTAATTAGCTTGTTGATCTTAGAAGTTGGTATGCTATTTGCTAACAGCAGGGCCTGTAGGAATTATAAAATGGCCTGATTCTTTTTGCTGAATCACTTTTTTGAGGGGATCTAATGACTAAATATTAACTGTCAAGAGCATACGTTTAGTCATTACCCTCTGCAAGATAAAAGATTAAGCACTGACATTCTAAAGGGATGTGAAATATTGAATGGGATAAGCATGCGTGTGTATATACACACACTGCATTCCCAGCCACCCCAGGATTAATGAACAGGCAAGCATTACTAAAGAGCAAGCATTACTAAAGAGAAAAGTTTGTATAAAAGAAGCATTTTAGAACTGTTCTGTAGATTTCCAGCTCTTAATGGGTACTCTTGTTAAAAGGAGTTCAAAGTCAGGTAAGTTAGAGAAGGGCTACAGCTCCTGACCTTGCTAAAGACTCACAGGGCTTTATCAGTACATTGGAGGAGCTGAGCAGCTCTGTACACTGGAGAACTCTGTTTAACTTTGTTCGGTGCTGTGTTCCCCAAACTCAGGCACAGTGTACACACGAACATCTTACGGAGGTGTGGGATGTCACGTTGAGAAATACCATGTGGTAGGAGGTGAAGCTGGAGAGAGATAAGAGGTATAGGGGCCAACTAGTGACTCAGCTCATTCCTGTAAAGCGAGCTGAGTGTAACAAAAAAATCAACAGATAAGTTTAACACCTTAGAATTTTCCAAAAAATTGTTCCTCCCGTGCTTTGCATTGATCTTGATCGCTTGTTGAGAATTATCTTTAGTAATCTACTGTAGGCACCTAATAATTGACCTTATTTTGCTACAGGAATCATATACTGTTTTTCTCAGAAAGATTCTGAGCAAGTTACAATTAGTTTACAGAAACTGGGAATTCGTGCAGGTGCGTATCATGCCAATATGGAACCGGAAGATAAGACCAAAGTTCACAGAAAATGGTCTGCCAATGAAATTCAGGTTAAGTATATTTCTCTAAAAGTTTCTAGCCCACCTTGAAAAGTATGTTAACTTTACTAATGAGTAAAATGTTAAAATGTTGTAGGTAGTAGTGGCAACGGTGGCATTTGGTATGGGAATTGATAAACCAGATGTGAGATTTGTCATTCATCATTCAATGAGTAAATCTATGGAAAATTATTACCAGGAGAGTGGACGTGCAGGTAAGTAGTTTTTAAAAAACCTTCAAGAAAAATCCCCATAAATGTGTAATGGTTTCTTATTTTCAGTCTTGTCTAGTTATTTTTAAAACAAGTGGCTTTTGGGGGGCAATTACTTACTTGCCTGTGCAGAAACTTTGTTTTAGGGTCCTATAAGCTGTTCTTCATGCCCACTTTTGCTGCCTGAATTTTTAATTTGGTTTAAAATCTGTACCTTAAATAACTGTATTACTGACAGACTTTACCTTAATAAAGCTCACGGTTGCTAAGTCTCCTTAATAATTTGTAACAACTATTAAAAAAAAACAAAGACACTTTGACATTTGTCTGCATTTGTCTGGAGTGTTTAGATGTGATATATTTGGACTGAAGCTTTGCCAGCTATTTGTACATTTATTATTGCTGCATGTTTTGAAATTTTAAAATAACTATGCAATCTCAAGATATCTCTTGCTGCAGGTCGAGATGATATGAAAGCAGACTGTATTTTATATTATGGCTTTGGTGATATATTCAGAATAAGCTCAATGGTGGTGATGGAAAATGTAGGCCAACAGAAGCTTTACGAGATGGTGTCATACTGCCAGAATATGAGCAAGTAAGCCACATGGCTTTGTGTAACTCTGACCACACACGCTGCTACTTGGAGTACTTGCTGAAAGTTGTGTAATATCAAGCGTAAACCTGTATAGAGGTGCAAATCAGGATACAAGCCTGTAGGGTTTGCCTTAATTCAAGAAAAGCTTTTTTTCTGTCACTAATATACAACTATAACACATGTTTTAGTACTTTTCAAAAGGTGATTAAGCATTTTAAGAATGGCACTCAATTAACACACACTATCTGATGGATGGATAAAATCTTTGAAAGCAGGGTCAAGCATCTCTTTAAGAAATACATTTCTATTTTTTAGGGTGGCTTTAGTTAGAACTTAAAGTTCTCTATGGCTTCTTGGCTTTAGCCCTCCTTGTGTTCTTATTGCCCATCACATAAAATGGTCTCCAAAATGTTGAAATGAGAGGAGTAACACAAGGGAGAAAATGGTATTGCTTTCTAGTTGCTACACTAATCTAACGGGAGAAAGTGAAAATTTCCTTAGATTGTCCAATAGAAGCCCATGTTGCATATTTTGGGGTTTAGATTAAAACTGATTCTCTAAAACACAAGAAACTGTCTTGCTAGCAACAAAATTCTCAGTTATTTTTAGTAAGTCTTGCACTTCTCAAAAGCAATGCTAATCAAGTATGCTGGAAAAAAATTGTATGTGGTGGCTAGATATACCAGTTTAAGAGAGATTACACTGGATTATTTGGGCGGATCAAATCTAATTACCAGTGCCCTGAAGTGTGGGAGGAGGTGACTGCAGACTCTGGAAACTGGGAAGGGCAAAATATATCCTTCCCAGAAACTCCAGAAGACATCTAGCCCTGCTGACTTGATTTTAAGCTAATGAGCCCTGTCTCAGACTATAGCAGTTGGAAGGTAAATTTGTGCTGTTTAAAGCCACCCAAGTTTGTGTTTA